AATAAAACATGCTATGTGCCTAGGGCAGTCCATTAGCGGCGTAACTCAATGCCTTACTAGTCAGGTCAATTTCGTCCTATTTCGGAATCCCTACGTAACATAGTGTAGGAAAAAAATCTATTTCGGTATTGGCAAATTAATTGACCCAGTTACGTGACGGCTTTCATCGTTAACGTTATTTTCCTTACGTGAATCAAGCTGAGCTTACGTTTTCCACGTACGTTTTAACCGTTATCGCACGTTCCTATCGGTATTAAGGAAGCATTGTCAATGGTTAGTTTTGGCAGCTCTAATAAGTTATTTTTCGAGACAGTGAGTTATGTGAGGATTTTTTGTATTGAATCGACTGCAGGGTTGGCGCGGTGGCTGTGGCGTGTTTAGGGTTCGATTCCCGCACGAAACAACTCTTTGTGTGATCCACTGATTGTTGTTCCGGGTCTGAGTGTCATGTGTATGTGAACTTGTATGTTTGTAAACGCACCCACGACACAGAAGAAAATCATACCTAGTGTTGGGCAACGTTAAAAAAAGATGATATTGCTTATAACTCGTTTCATAACAGATCTATACAAAAAAATATGTTATATTTTTGGATGCTGTTTTTGGTTTTTAATTCAAAAATAGTGCAGACATAACATTTTACTTATAAAGTAGCAGATAGTGCAAAATTGAACCCATTTGGTAATAAGAAGAAATACGATAAGGCAATAACTCCTATCTTAACTACATGCACAGTAAAACCATTTACTTTGTAAACAAAATAAAATACTGATATTTCATCCTCTTACTTCGTTGACAAATTAATTGCACCCTTAAATGTTACGGCTCATAACTGACTGTCTGTGTAGACGAGGGATTTATGTTGCGAAGTGTCACTAACCTCGGGAACTACTGGTTCAAATTGAAAAAATATTTTTGTGTTTGATAGATACAGTGCATGATGCAAGTGCTTAGATATAAGACTTAATGTTTGTATCTACTGCTGGTTGTCCTATCCTAATAACATAACATCACGCCTTTTATCCCTGAAGGGGTAGGCAGAGGTTTACATTATGCCACTGTACAATGTAACACCCACTTTTCACTATTTATGTTATGAGTCCCATGTGATTGGGAGTGAGCCTATTGCCATATACCGGACACAATTCTAGACTCCGTGCTGCCAATGAGATTTTTTTTTTAAAACCAGTCATACTTTGCCCGACCCGGGAATTGAACCCGAGACCCCTGGCCGGCGCACTAGCGACCACTCGGTCAACGAGGCAGTCCTATCCTAATAATAATGAATAAAATTATCTAAGATGGCTACGGGCCATGAAACATCACGCTTTGATCAATAGCAATCAAGCAGCGGGTGAATTGGGTAGTTTCCAGGGAATCAAAATTAAAAATCTAATTGGTCCGTCAGTTAGATAATGAAAAAATATTAGACACGTATTTTTTTATTTTCTCGTATTAAGTTGCAATACTTAGATAAAATGTCGCTAAGTTAGAGGTTGTTACGTCATAACGTGCTACAAAGTGTTGCACGCTGTGACGTCACACGATATTTCAAATTAATATATCGTCGAAAGTATTTAATTTTGTGAGAAAAGAAAAAATACGTGTCAAAAGTTTTAAATAAATCTACCAGACGGACATTAAAATAAAATTTAGGAAACTACCCTATTGTATTAAGAGAAAAGTATTGATGTATTTGAGACAAGTGAGCGGTGAATCGTTTTTTTAACCCTAAATAGATTTAGTCTTCAGCCTACAAAATGTCTCCCATCAGCGTAGTTGCGTTTCTTGCTTATCTGTGACTATAACTTTTGAACTTTAATAAAACGTAAGATTGTCCACTGTTACTATCTAAGTGACACGGCAAATTGGCCCTTATAACAGTGTCACAAGTGGGTCGAGTAATTTATTATTGAATGCTTGCAATTTTCTTTGAGAGCTTTCGCTTTAAAACTTTTTGCTTGAAAGGGTAATGATTTTATTTTGCTTTTATTTATATTACATTATAGCTTGAACAAAGTATTTATATAGCTTGAACTTGACGCCCATATTCTTAGAGAAGAACTTTGCTCGAGCCAGGAATTGAACCCAAAATGTCTTGCTCATTACATTATGGTGTTTTTTTTGTAGTGGAATTGGAGGCAAACCATCAGACGGATCACCTGATGGTAAGCGATCAGCACCGCCCATGGACACCCGTAACACCAGAGGAGTCACAGGTGCATTGCCGGCCTTTTAAAAAGGAATACGCTCTTTTCTTGTCTTTATGACATAGTAGTGTCACATGTTTTTTAAAGGTAAATAAAACGGCAATATGTAGTGTAATATTTTATAATTTATTTTTAATTAGATCTTTGGTAAGTACAATGGCTTAAGGGTGTGGCCCCTGTAGTTGGTTCTTTGGTACCTACGTCTTGGTGTTCCACTCATCTTGACACATTATACAAAAGAGTATTTAAACATAACGCTTCTATACAATTTGTTTGATCTGTGACAATATTATTGTATTTAAAAAAAACTGTTAGCCATAGACTTTAATAAAACAACTTTCATAATTTATTTTCCAGCTTGCTTAAACGTAGAATCTAAGCGAGATACGATGTGTTATTTATTTGTGTTATATATAGAATAGTCGAGATAATATTATTTTCATTTGCTGTTTATGTATTTAAACTTTTGTACAATATACATAGTATGTTGCTCAATAAATTAAATTAAGATTCACAATAATATTGTCGCAGCTCAACCCATCAATAACTAAAATAAATAATAATCATAATAAGTCTATTTGAATTCACTCTTATTCAATTCAGTTTAAGCTTAATTAAACGGATAACGAAAAATATAAGCCTAAATTTAAACAAAATCTTGTATTTACATTTTTGAATTTGGACTGTGGCATAAAACAATATTCTGTGACCTATGGTTGACTGTCAATTTAATCTAGACAAACGTCATTTGATTAACACATAATTTATTTCACTGTAATCTGGGCCTTTAGCCAAACGCCACTTTAGCGCTTGTCTACAGACAGAGTAGAAATCAAAATGTATGGGGATGACACTGAAAAGTGTCAAAATTTACGTCAATTCCATATAATTTGGTTTTCTACTCTACATGTAGACAAGCGCTAAATGGCATTTGGCTACAGCTGCTGATTATCGTCTGCAACCAATAGAAACATCGCTTTAATCTATCACCAAAACTTCCAGACTTCGTGAGAAATTCGAATTCGAAAATCTCAATAATTGCTTTAATTAAGGTAACTTAAAACGAGGGTTCTTGTTAAAGGGACGTCTCAAACACTAAATAAAGCCTTAATGTGACAGGTTTGGTACAAATTCAGTCAACCATTTGATATCGCTTCAGTACTTTAGAACATTCCGCAGTGTTCTTTGAGTACAAACAGATCGTAGCTTTTCATGTTGTTTCAAGAAGTTATGTATTACATTTTCAGTGATACTTATTCAAAATTATAACAAAAATTATCCTATCAGACCCATATCAAACTTTGCAACTTATTTATCCTACATTCATTCGCTACCAAAGATTATAATATAAACAAAACACGTTGTCCAGATTATACACGGAAAATCATCTCAATCGATTTCCAGATTACGTTAAAGAAAACATTTGAAAAATCGTTTAATCTAAATGCTATCTTATTACAAATAAATACAGTACAAATCGTCTATTGACTAAATAAACTTTCCTATATACAATTAGGTATAACATCTTTGGGTAATCTTCGGTTAAGACTTATGTGTTATAATTAATCCATATAGTCTATCATACAAAACATTTATTTCTAAACACTAGTAACATTTTAATATTTCGTCAAAAACCGACAATCATTTGGAATGGTCGTCTTTACATTTTTTGTTGAATCAAAGCGATGTTTTACAATAGTTTACAATCTATATTAATTTTATGACTTACCTACGAATGAGTTCGAAGCATAAGGCTGCCATTTTTGAGAGAATTTATTCTCAAAATTGAAAAATAACGTCTCTGTATTTAATCTAGGATTTAATTACAATAATGTTCTCATGAGAAACTCGCTTTCAATTCTGTTATATTCAATATCAATCGAATGAAACAGCACCGTCTTCGATTCAATATTAATCGTTATCGAAACTTTAATTACCTATGTCTTTGACATCCTCCTTATTTACATTAATATCACACGTTGATATTGTACTAGTACTAGTACGAAACACCTTCACTGTTCATTTTATGACAAATGATAAACAGACTACTACTAGATACGGTAATTAAAACTCATATAACATTATATTTTATTATTCTGTAAGTTTTATCTCATTCAAGTAAGAAGGTAGGCAATCGAATTCAGTAATTGAAGCGTAAAGTCAAATATCATAAAACAAACAACGCTCAACATACAGGTGACTATTATTTGCTTCGGCAAACAACTATTCGCGTTCATACGTCAACTGCAGATTAAGGAAGTTGTGGACCATTAGACCCATATTCATTTAACCCATTTTCAACTCTATTCCATTGGAGTAGAGTTGCAAAATAAAAGGTATATTTTCTGTGATCATTACGTAGAATTTTGACCGCGATTACTGTACGAACACGTCATTATGGTCGAGGCAAACAATCGTCAACTTTAATTAAGGGGTATCCGATTTTTTTATTAATTACACCCAAGAACTCTTTTATTATGTTTTCTTCATATAACAATGTCTACATTTATGGTAATACCTTAGAAATTATTCTTAATGGTATAATCGTATGTCAATACTAATTAAGTTATATCATCGTAGATTTGTATAAACTATTCATAGGTAAATGGAGGTAACAAGCTTCAGTTCATTTTAAAATTTATTTGGTATACGTTTCAATAAGCATTTTGATTGATTCAATTTATTAATATTAAATGCTGTTGAATAATTTATAATTCGAATATTAACGCTTAACTTTTTGAAATCAAAACAATAATGTAGTATACTTTTTAATAGTACTTAGGTCATTGTGAAAATTTTTCGTTTACCCATTTCCAATTTCTTATGATGTTTTCGATCTAATAGTATACGATAAATCTGAGTAATTACCATTGCTTTCTAACATTATCTTAGGTAAAGTTCTTTGCTACAAATTATTGCTAAAGCTTAGTTAATAAATATTTACACGTATTAGACAAATAGAATCGACTCGTATTGACTTAGACAGCTGAAAGTTATTCATATGGCATCGTTAGCTACATGACTTGTTGATTTAAATCGGAATGTAATAAATTATTGTTATAGTTATTAGTATATTTTCAATTACGTTTTATTAGAGAGATACCCGAATATCACAATCATGATACAAGTACCTACGTACGAGTAATCTGCTATGACAATCTCCATGTCTGGATCTAAACCGTTCGATTAAGGACTTTATCACTGCCGAACAGCATTCAATTTCGTTAATATCGCACTTAGATATAACACTATTGAGTATTTACACGAATAAAAAGAAACAATCTCATCGTTTACATTTAAATACACTTTTGTATGCTTGTCTGTATTCATTAGACATGACGACGTAGATGACGGGGTTCGCGCATGTTGTGAAATAAATGAGTACATACCCGAACACGTGTGCTACTGAGTGTGTCGTCGTTTCAAAGAATATTGTCTTCATAAGGGTGATAGGCAAGTGACAGACGCAAAATGAGACCATGATAGCTACTATCATAGTTAGTAACTTCTTGTCTTTCTTTGTTGGAAGACGTGGCTTCGCAGGTATTGTGGTCCACCTCATCGTGGCTATGAAGCTTCGACGGAAATTTTTATTATCATGTCCAAATCGAGGCGTATTGTCCTGAGGGGTCACAGACTGTCTCTCTGTATCCGATGGCGTGGAACTATCGCTTGATATTTCAGCCGCTGTGTGTATGAAGCAGTTCATGGGAAACGAGGGCACTGTGTACCTGGGTGGGCGTTTGTCCAAATCTATAGATCTGGTTGCAATTGTCGTGGTACTCATGCTCAAAGCCTTCATTTGCGTAGGAGGGTTTCGTGACTTCTTTGCGGTTTTTCTAACAATCCACAATATTCTAGCGTAACATAAAATAATTGCTAGACTCGGGAGGATGAAAGCGATGATGAAAAGGAATTTCTTTGGTGAATTCTGGTTGTCATCAGGAACGATGGTACAGGAACCAGTGATGGGGTCCAAACTGAACTCGCCCCAAACCTCGAAGCACGTGGGTAACAACGCACTGAACGAGAAGATCCAAATGCCTGCCGTTATGAAGCAGATATTTCTGGTTGTATACAATCTGTTGACAACAGAGAAGTTCTATTAGACATTGATTTGTAATTTAACGATGACATATAGAAAGGTGGTGGAATCATTTAAAGGTAGACACATTTTTTTTATAAAATTTGTTATACTTACTTGGGATAGAGTCGGGGATGGGAGATCATCACGTATCTGTTGATCGTGATGGCCAGGACGGTGAACAGTGAGACTGCTACCAATGCATATCTGGCGAACGGGAACATGTAGCACAGGATCTTGCCATGAGCCCAGGATCTGTTGTAGAATGTGGACGCAGCTAGTGGCAGGATAAAGCAGCAGAACAGCAGGTCAGAGCAGGACAAGTTGATGATGAAGAAGGCTGTTGCATTGCGGACCTGGAAGTGGTTGAAAACATTGTATTATTGAAGTACAGTGTATCCAAAATTAACTTCAATTTCGTGTTTTAATCTAATCGTGATTTAATTTTGTGGATATTTTCAATATTACAGGTAAGAACGCATATGTTTTTATAATAACTATCGTGAGACATACTAAATTAACTAAAATCGCGGGTTTCTCACGTGAATATACTGAGAAAAGCTCTACTAATTTTGAACCACAGAGGGGTCATAAGCAGCGTGCGCGGTCGCGGCGACGTCGCGCATCTCACTCTCGCGCGTTTAGTAAGTGAGTAACCCGCGATTTTAGTTAATTAAGAATGCATATCATCAATGCTGTGTTCTAAAAAAAGTATGAAAAGTGAACATTATAAATACAAAACTTTCATAAGATTTATTGTCATTTACGTAAGAACTAAATACCTCAGATTTTACTGCTACTTGTATTTGATAATGTGGATTAATCATCTATAGCAGGTACCTATTCTTTATATATTAACAATTAACGTATTTCATAAAAACATACCTACGTAGTATTTGTAAGCGGAATAACATAATGACGTCAACGTTTAGTTAATTGTTAGTAGTTGTTCATAGTTTACATGAATCGTCCATTATAATGCCTACGCGGTTATGTGGTTAGGGTTCACTTACATTCAATGAGTAGTGAATTTTAAATAAAAAACAATCAACCCAGACACCTACTTGTTTATAGGTAAGGCCGTAAACAAAACATTTAATATTTGTCCTTAAAGTAAAGGCAGACTTGCAGAATAATGCACATAATTAATATTATTCAACTAGCTTCTGCCCGCGACTTCGTACGCGTAATCCCATTTGTTCCCGTCCCCGTTCGTGATTTTCGGTAAAAAGTAAATAAAAAAATGTTGGTTAAAAAGTATCCTATGTCCGCTCCTGGCTCTAAGCTACCTTCCTACCAATTTTCAGCCAAATCTATTCTGCCGTTCTTGAGTTATAAGTGGTGTAACTAACACGACTTTCTTTTATAGCCTTCAAAAAAGGAGGAGGTATGTGATGTGTTAGCATGTTTATATTTTTTACGTTCGCCGATCACTCCAATTATGAACCGATTTTTAAAATACAATGGAAGGTTATTGAGTATCATGTTATAGGGATATGTCTATTGCCATATTATTCGTAGTGATGTTCCAGATTTCGTGCAATAACTGAATAATTTTAAAATACCGTAGTAGATAGATACCTAAAAACATGAACATGCAATATGGGGTAATCGAATACAAGATCCTTTTGCTTGACTTTACGAATAAAAATACTTTCATCCTAAATTTAAATAGTATACCTAATTTCCCTCAAAATTATCGAATTATTTACGTAAACTAAGTGATACATAAGTACATAGTACCTATTTGTTTATTTTTCCTTAGCAAACCAAGTGAAAGGGAAATAATAATAATTTTATTGACGTGTTGGTAAATACCAAAGTAAATGTATCATTGTTATTTTACCTATTTACGCCGGTATGTACGTATACGGTAATTTGAGGTTTGTCAGTTTAGGAAATGTAGTAACGTATGTAATAATTTTATTGTTTTTGTTTCATTAAATTACATTCAGGAAATTTCATTGAAATTCCAAAAGGAATAAGTAGCACCCTAATGTACTCCAATTTTATGTATGTGTTACCCTCTGTGCTGTTTGTGTGTCATAATTATGCTGGAATACTGAAACGTTACTTAATTTTAAGGCGTGCTTAAATATCATGCTGTCTCCGTCATTTTACAAAGAATTTGTGGAGACAGAACTATACTTAAGCGCGACTTAAAATTGAGTAACGTTTCATTCGGGCATAAGTACATAAATCTTTACTAATATTATAAATCGGAAAGTGAATTTGTTTGTTTCGCTTTCACGCCATAACTACTAAACCGATTGCTTTGAATTTTTGCAAATGTATAGTTAGAAGTCCGGATTAAATAATAGGGTACTTTTTATCCCGGTAAAATTTGATATTCCCGAGGGAAAACAAAAGTATTGGTATAGATGGCACTGCGTGTATTGGTATATGTCACATTTGTTTTTAAACCTTTTGTGACGCGAGCGAAGCCGCGGGTAAAAGCTAGTTATTAAATAAATTAATTCATCCTACGACTCGCATAATTTCAAACTAGATTCAAAAGATCATCAAATTATGATTTTTGTTTTTAAAGAATGGCACTCTAGGATTTTATCATGTAAGCGGGTGAAACCGCTTGCTGAAGCTCGTATCATATAATTGTTCTCTGTGTTAGTAGAAAAGATAAGTAAGTAGAAATGTTAAGATATAGTTTATGGGTAATACTTTTTGTTTGCAGCGTGTCTAGTACACAAGCTTCTGTAATGATGCCAGTGTATTTTCTTGTATTTTTAATGAGCTCAGTTCTGCATTATTTATAAAGCATTTGAAGTACCTACTACCTCTTGCTAGCGGCTTCGCCCGTGGGATAAATAATTGTCGAAGTATGTGTCATACTCATTCCAGACCATATTTATCCCTGTTCATAAGTAGTAACATACAAATATATTTTTATATTAGTAGGATCTAACATAACATAACATCACGCCTTTTACCCCCGAAGGGGTAGGCAGAGGTGCACATTACGGCACTTAATGCCACACACTTTACACTATTTTATGTTATGAGTTCTATGTAATAGGGTGTGAACCTCTTGCCATATACCTGGCATAATTTTGGACTCGGTGCCTACAATTGAGATTTTTTTTAAAAAACCGAGTAATATTTTTCCCGACCCGGGTATCGAACCCGAGACGCCTTGCCCGGCAAATGCCGAAACGTGTTAATTGGTGTTACTTTGCCTACCGTAATAACGTAACAGGCGTGATGTGACGTCAATACACATATGTACATATACGTTTACGTATATTTACGTTTGAATGTATATTTTTAGACCACATTAATAGTACAAGTGGCCACTACTAACCAAAGGCCTCTTCTTACATGGAGAAGGTTTGAGCATTGATCGCTACGCTTGCTCAATGCGGGTTGGCGATTGCAAACTTATAATTAGAAATTACAAGTCTATATTTCTTCACGATGTTTTACTTCACCGTCTATCAAGTGTATAATTAAAGTTAGAAAGTACCTACATATAACTCGAAAAACATCGTGAGGAAATGATTTGTTAGGACAAAAAATAGTACTTAAGGCAAAACAGAGAATTTTTAGCGTAAAAACTGTTATTCCAACAGAAATATTAAAATATTTGAAGAAATTAAAAAATGTTAAAAGTATATACTAGTTGGTAAACAAGTTATAGTATAAACGTTTATTTCCCAAACATTTGGTTTGCGTTACAATTTTTTGTGTACGTATAATAATTTGGCAAATGAAATTATGTGTAACATTTTTTATCAAATTCCTTTCGGTTAAACATAGGAGACGCAACTATATTAATATAGGTATTATTCTTCAGGTATATTATAGTAGATTCATAGCTTTGTCATGTTTCATAAATCCTTCAGTGAATCAATCATGTTTACACCAGAGTTTTCCTGTAAACCTATTCTTTTAATCAGGTCGGTACCTATTGGTTACAGATTCGCCTGGAAACACTAGGTGGGAAGTCCGTTTAGGTACCGTTGAAATAAATGTGTTAATCTATACATGTAATAATTCAACAATAAGAGAATTAAATGTACTATTCTGGTAGTTTGGATTTTGTTTTTTGGTGCCTGCTTATTATAAGATATGTTATAGAGATACGTAATTAAAAAGGAAGAAGATAAGTATGAGAAAAGGACAAATCGAGTTTTTTCTCAACGTATTTCGATTCTAAGAATGTAATATAATTATTATAGTTTTATAAAAATGACGTCACTCTGTATCGTGGTTAACTGGCCTAGTTAGTGCAAATGAATTTTATGAAATAAATAAGACATCTTTATTTTTTTTGCAAAGTAGTTAAATCTATTTTTAACTAGATATGTCAAGAGATAAACTTTTTTATGATGTTGTAATTACATATTTATATGTATGTATACATAGTCAACAAAACATTTATAATTGCCACACAGATAATAACACGTTTAGATTAGATATAATCTTCAAATATGCAAATCATGAACATAACAATGTTAGTATAATTTGTATCTTATAAGAATGTGCTAAGAAAGGAATTCCCGTGGGAATGAAATTTCCTGTGAACCGTTAATTGTTAGATGAATTACAAATTTAGCGGTCTTAATTTCGTCAAGTCGTTTACTATGTAGTACTAGAACTAAGCTAAATTACTTAAAGCAGAGAAGATGTAGGTACAGACCTTCTTGCACCTTGCCAGTGCAATGATAGTGATGAGGTTGCCAGGGATGCCGATGAGCATGAACAGCATGCAGCTAATGTAGGCGAAGCGCAGCAGAGGCTGGTCGTAGCCCTCGAACAACTCCACCGCAGCCAGTGCTGCATCAGAGTCGTACGAGTGCAATCCAGGTATCCCACTCGCATTGTCAACACCCCATATAGAAGATTCACCCATTTTCAACAACACAACTTAAAACACGTCACTCAATAGCAAACATTTGAATACAAATGAATACAAAGACTCAATATTTAACCTTTTGTTTATTTTATTTTCCTTAATGAGTCAATTTAACTGTCATGGGTACGCCCGAGATTGATAGTGCTCCAGAGGTTCACTATAGCCCGACACGTCGTCACTACTTTAATATTGCTTCCCAACTTAGTTCACTTTCATTGACTTATTGCTAAGTTCCGAATGTAATACTTTACAATGTACCATTAAACATTAACAATGACTCATTCATATCATTTTGATGATAAAAATGTAAATCACTAAATACACTGAATGAGATGATTAATACGACCGTAGGATGTTTCATTTGGGCATCCGTATGATCGCGCTGAGTATATACGAGATTACTATGTAATTTAAATATCATGTATAATATCATAATATCTACTTCAGTATAAAACATTGTAATTGCTTCCTTTCCCACCTCTAAGCACAATCACGGACGGTTCGCGATTACAAAATTGTCTACGTAACTGAACGTCTTCTACGTATACACAAATAAGTTAACGCTGTCACTACACTACACCAGTTTATGGTCACTTATCTTTTACACACATGTACTTGAGTGTCCATTATTTGCAGTTATTCAGGCTGTCCAGCGATTTACGACTAGTCACGGCGGGCGCTTCTCGGAGGCGCCATCGCCGGGCGAACGTCACGCCCAGCGACGACACATTAGTAGGTTCTTGTACGCCTGCCGGTACTCAGACGACATCACCACATAAATGATGGGGTTGATACACGTCGTCAGGTATATCAGTATATACCCCGCTATATTCGCCGCTGGATGCGACGTAAACTCTCGAAATATCTTCGTCAAAGTTATGGGCAAATAACACACCCAAAACGATAACATTATTGCCATTATCATCTTTAGTAACTTTCTGTCTTTTGGCGTCAGTCGAGGTGGTCTTACAGAAGCTGGTGACCGTCTTAATGCGACTGCAGCTTGTCTAAGACGTTTAGCAGTTTCACCACCACTCGGTGTTCTAGGCTTAGCGTCCAGTGCGCACTCCTCGTCGTGGCCATCTAATGTATCAACACCAGACGACGACGACCGCTCAGGTCCGGGTGTCGGAGGACAGTGCAGTGCTGGTGGTGCTAGGAGAGCCCTTCTTGGTGGAGCTACGTGATTGATTCCATTTTCGGGGCCAGGAGATCGTTCCAATGCTGTTGAAGCTGAACCAACTGCAGAGTCTTCTAATCCTGGCCGGGATCGCCCTCGTGCTGGGGCTCGTGACTTTCTTGCTGCTTCTCTAACAATGCAAAATATTCTAGCATAGCAAATCACAATGGCCAGACAGGGCAACATGAAGGCACCCACAAAGAGGAATTCTTTCGGGGATCGATTATTTTTGTCGGGAAGTATTGAACAGGAACCAATCGTAGGATCCAAGCCAAATCTGCCCCACTTTTCTAACCACGTTGCTATTAATGCTCCAAATGAGAAAGCCCAAGTACTTGCCACCATTACTGCTAAGTATTGACGTCGATACAACCTGTTGACAAAATAACATTGTAATTAAGAGATTCCGGAAGACTACGAATTTTCCTGGTAAAGACCGATTGTAACAATCAACAATATTCACGTCAATTATTGAACACGTAATACGCAATGGTTACGTCAGTTTTATTATTAGAATTGATATACTTACTTGGGGTATAGACGTGGATGGGAGATCATCACATATCTATTGATTGTGATAGCCAGGACCGTGAAGAGAGATACTGCAACGAGTGCGTATCTCGCGAGGGGGAACATTCGACAGAGGATTCTGCCGTGAGCCCAGGAACGGCGCCAGAAGGTGGACGCAGCGAGCGGCAGGTTGAAGCAGCAGAACAAGAGGTCGGAACATGACAGGTTCATTATGAACACTGCGGTAGCGTTGCGAACCTGTAAGCGACAGAATGTGGTTACTATTTTTATAACAGTTCATATTGTGTTTTATTTTTATTTGGGGCTAGTAGCTCAACATTTCAACAAAACTTAAGTTGTATATCTTAAGGTATTTATAACACAATTTGTTTCATAAACTCAACATTTTTTATCTATAAAACTGAGCAAGATAATGCTCGAAAGTTTAGCTCGTTTTCTATTCAAAAACACATAAAAATTCATTGAGTTGGTAATTGTATGGAGAAGTTTACTTCATTATCATAAGCGTATTCTAGTAGCGAATTAAGTTCATTATTTCTGTACAGTGAGTCGATCACTGACCTAAGTTAAGTATGTAGTATTTCATTGCATTTATTGTTATTTTATCGCAAAGTGGTATTAATCACGTTTACACTTCGTAGTACAGTTTTTCTATATTTAGACTTCAGTAGTAAATACGCAAGCACCTATAATAAAATACGCTTTTGTTTTATCAATTCAGAAGTAGGACATATAAGACACGTGTATTTGACGGAAAAAAATGATAAAATAAATTATGAGACGTCCGCGTGCGTGTTCAAGCAGATAATTTGTGACAAGATTAATATTTGTTCGTTCGTTGTTATGTTCTTCTGAAATAATATTTTGTAATATGAATATGAATTTCGATTTTGCGAACTGCATATTTCACTTTCTTTTTTAATACTCTTTCGGGATTTATGTATTTGTAGATAGATTGTTTTATTTGAGGAGTATTTGCAAAGTTTTAAGTTGTTTTTGCAATAACATTGTGATGTGTAGTCAGCAGGCGTTTGACAAAATATCTACAAACATTTCGTCTATATAATGAGCTTTAGTTTTCTGTCAATAAATTATCGTAATATTGTAAACTATTTCCTTACAATTAGATAAAGTTTTATCTCTTACGAATGTCTATTATGGCGGTCTGGTAAGAAGAGGCCAATGTCCATCGATAGATATTTACGGTCTGATATTATGATTCATGATTCCTAACTAATAAAATAATAATATATCTCTGTTTATTTAACACAATAGACTAATTAGTCAATGGATGTCTACGTGAATATCAGTTATTTATCTATTCTAGATACTATTACAAAGAGCATAGATTTGATTATTTGTTTGTTTGCTTTCTATAGCCTCCGAAAGCGGTTTGAAAAAAATATTTCACAATAAAATTATAGAGCTTTACTTCATACGTTCCTATATACCTAAACAGGACTCATTCTAGTGATTTTTCAATTCCATGTAGGTAAACCCACATGTGGCAATATCGTTCACAAGATATAAAATGAATTAATTCTAAATCAGTGCAATAACTGAAATATTAAAAATTCTTGCTGTAAAAGGCTTTACCTATGTACGTCGTACGTATATGTAACTATGTCTACTTTACTTTATAGTTAAGTCTTTATATTATGTACCAAGTGCGAAGAAATCTAGGCGTAGAAAAATCTACTACGAGTTTCATAAGTGTAAATATTTAACCCGTAATTGAGTTTATAAAAGGATTTCGACTATCTTGTTACATCGAGATATTAGTTAATGTTCTTGTCAGTTAAGCTAACTGACCATCATAATGTGTTAACTAAGTCTACATGCTTATCTTATATGATCTTATCTAATGGCTTAATTGGAATAGTCAAAAAGATACGAATATTTTGTTTCGTTTCGTAAATTGTTAGGTTATTAATAAATTCGTAATTATTGTTCGTGCAATTACCGTACACTTGAATAAACAGTGATGTAATGACTATTTGTTTGTTTGGCCTACTGGGTTCATTAACGAATTTCAAGTATACGATGTACAAATTTTATCGAGTAATAATATATTGACTTTGATATAAAATTATCATGAAATATTTTGAACTTTCACCTGTTATAATCTCTTGATTACTTGCTACCATTTCCTTATGTATATGTCATAAGTATGAGAGCGCTACAGATAAGTAGAATTATTACTTCTTGAAACTTTAGACTCAACTGAAATCTTAAGAATGGTGTAAGAATTACAATCTGTTGCACCTAACCTTTCTGTAAAGTATATTTGAAAGCAATGAAACACTAGTCTACCACCGACTTAACTTAGTTTTCGCAAAAGTGCTGAAGGCGGTTTATACCAGTAGAACTATGTATACTTTAAAGATTATCTTTTTAAAATTAAATATAGATTAATACCTAAATTATACATTTTAACTGACCTTCTTGCACCTTGCAAGTGCAACAATGGTGATGAGGTTGCCAGGGATGCCGACGAGCATGAAGAGCACGCAGCACACGGAAGCGAAGCGAAGCAGTGGCTCCGGGTAGTCACGGAACAGCTCCACAGCGGCCAGCTCCGCGTCAGACCGGTACTCTGTCACTCTCGGGCCCTCGAGGCTGTAATTCCCTCCGTCTACCTCACTCGCGAACGTACTCCTCGGTATACTCGGTAGCAGATCACCCATCTTAAAGATTTAACGCACATCATTCGTCCACAAGTGTATCACGTTAATTGAGTTCATATCACTTATTTCATGTTCATGTTTACGCTGGCGGGTTTCGTTGGCGACTGATAACGAACCTTCCCGGTCAATAAGTTGGTAATAGTGCGGTGATAAGGCATTTTGTCGATGTGCGAGGTTATAGGGTCACAGCTGGTCAGGAAGCGCTGGTATCTCGCCGCTACTGTCCTCCGTATCTGTACAGATAAATTGGTATTCGTTTATTATGAATTTTTTGTAAGTACTAATGTAATGTTATGAGAGTCGTGTAATAAGATAATGTTGTGTCTGTTATATGAGCCGGTGATTGTGTCCGTGAGACTATGGGAGTCTTTGTGGCTATTGTCAGTTTGAATGTTTTATTGCGCCGTCGCTACTTATCGCGCTGAAGATATCAGAGAATGATTTGTTCAGCGGAGTTTTTATTTAAATATTAATTTTATGAAGAAATTCTTTGTGTTGCCGAAAATAAACAGATTGAGTAAATTTTCCGTTTTGTTTATAATGCAAAGACATAGCAATGGTTTTAAAGAAGCGACGATATTTTTACGTTTCCTACGTTATAGGTAGGTACTGTTTTTTTTTGTTTATTTTCACAATGAATTGATTTAAGTATTTATTTTTATATTGTATAAAAGTTCACAGTCATTTAAAACGAAAAATATTGGTAGATACAAACAAAATCGTTTGAAGTTCACTTTGACATTTCGAACGTAAATTCGCAATCAAAACACTTGTTAAAAGTACGGTAACCTAAAAATTTATTGGAAAACTAAAATAACATTTACAGTGACATTATAATACTAAAAGTCGTCTGTCAGAATGATGCTACGGTCCACACGCGTAGTACCATTCACTGGTATTGAAAACCATATCAACCATATTTGAAATGAAATTGTGTCCTGTTCCTGGCTCTTCAGATTTCATAGTAGCTACTTAGGTCGTACTTAATTAATTGTCACACATATGTACTTAATATGTTAGTTAAATATTTTTAATAATGACTCGTTGGCTGAGTGGTCGCAAGTGCAACTGCCGGGCAAGGGGTCTCGGGTTCGATTCGGGTTTAAAAAAATTCGGTATTCGGTATATGGCAATAAGCTCAACCCTTATTACATGGGGCTCATAACATAAATAGTGAAAAGTGGGTGTTACATTGTCCAGTGACATTAAGTGCCGTAATGTGCAGCTCTGCCTACCCCTTCAGGGATAAAAAGCGTGATGTTATGTTATATTTTTAGTACCATTATTATTATACATGTTATGCAGCCTGGTTAATTGGTATATTTTAATAATAATATTAAATTATTAACCTACTTGCAAGAAAAAGACAATTAACTAAAATTGAATAAGCATTTAGCCGTCGAATAATATTGTGTACATCCATAATTCACGAGATACGTCGAACGTAGATGTGATATAAATTCGAATTGGTTTTCAAACATCTGTGCACTTAGGATGTAATCTAGATTGTGGCGCATCGACACTGAGTAATTGATTGTATCTAGCGTGAACCTTCGATACTTGCGATGGAAAGACTAAATGGAAAAACTGCAGGATTAAAAGGAAATCTGTTTTTCTTTTCCTTTAAATATACCTACTTATTATGTAGCCTAAAGGATTAGCAAGCTGAAATGGCAGTGGGTCGGTCACGTTTGTTGAAGAACTGATGACTGTTGGAGTAGACATGTTCTAGAGTGGAGACTGCGTCAAGGCAAACCTGGTGTACGGCGCCCTCCAGCTAGCTAGGTGGAATGATGACATCCGCAAAGTGGCTGGTAGTGGTTGTATGCTTAGAACTGAAGATCGAGCTCAGTGGCGTGCTGTTAGTAACTTATTTAGTAAAACCGGCTGTTGGTGACTTATTATGTAATATTAGACTTCTTGGAGGAGTCTTTAAAGAGTGGAGCTTCAATTCTTTTTTATTATATACCTAATACCTATCGAGGGACTTATTAAATTAACTAAAAATATCTGTTTACTCATACGATAAATATACGAAGAAAAGCTCTACTAGTTTCGAGCCACAAAGGGACTCTTCCTTGAGAGATAGGTATTTCTAATTCATGGAGCTTAAACGAAATAAACCATAATAATACTAACCAAAATTTAATACACAGTACACCTTTACTGAGACCTTAAAGGATAACAAGCGTAAGGTTATGTTATGTTAACGGAAGGAGCATTAGGGACAAGGGTATCAAGTAACTAACATACATTAGTAAAATTAACAACTTCAATATAATATGTTACCCTTAACATAATGAAAGATGATGGAGTTTAAAGACCATACCTACTATTTGTAGTACATACACATTTTATAGCGCCTGGTTGTTGCTTGTACTGAAGTCGTGGACTTGTAGGTAATTCCGTAAAAGTGTAGGCTTACTCTTGAATCCAATTCCGATCGATCAGCATTGGTATTGTGAAATTTCATACTCTTGAGTTGCAACACTAGCGCCCATTGCATCCGTATTGTGTGGATATTTAAGAAACTAAATGTTATGAGTTTGGCTTTATATTCCGTAATGTTATGTTAATAGCTGGGGGTTGTATAGTTTAGACATTGAATAATTATTGAGATTTTATTGGATTGAAATTGCGTTGACATTCATGAGATTCGTTTCAAAAGTAAGCCCCCTGATGTCTATTTTACCTGCACAAGCGCATAGTAATGCCTAGAAGTAAATAACATTAACAAAATACCAAATACGTAGAGTTCTAGATAAAACCCACCACTTTTGAGGTTATCAGTAAGATATAATATATAATATAATTTATTTTATTCTTAAGCACTTAATACAATATCAGTAAGATAGAAACTTAGTATATAAGTAGTAGTTGCGCTTAAGCAAACCTCAACAGTCTATGAAGGTTGTACAGAGAGGTATAATATCATATTAACACAATATTTATGTCCACAAATATAATACCTACTTCCACAAACAATCCCAGATAACTATTTCCTTCTAAAATCTATTTGTATAAAAATGGACCCTACGTCAAAAATATAGAACAGAATTTTGTTTGAGAGTCCATTTTGCAGTGCATTACGCTGTATCAGTAATATCGTTGGAATAACAAGTGAATTGAGAGTGCTATGGAACGTAAAATGAAAAGCAGAGACTTTCAACATTCCTCGTTTACTTTATTGTTGCTTGTGGATAAAATTTTACAGTACAATGGGTTCTATTATATCTGTAATGTATGACATAGTGACTATCTTTCTATACCTAAGGTATCAGGATTTGGTTCTTAAAATTTAGAGTACTATAAGTACACCATTGCTTTGGTTATAGGCCGATTTTAGGATGGTAAGTTGCAATGTGAGAAGTGTCTCGCATTGCCACATGTTAAGTGTAACATGTTATTTTTTAATACACTACTGGATCAAACCTTAACATAATCTTAGAACAAAATAAATTATTTGTATAATAACTATCGAGAGACATACTAAATTAATTAAAAGTTGTGGGTTACTGTCGTAAAATACTGAGAAAAGCTCTACAAGTTTCGAGCCACAGAGGGGCTCTTCCTCATGAGCAGCGTACGCGATACTGATACTATCAGTGCTGCGTGACATCGCCACGACCCGACGTTAAAATAAATTATAAAAAACAGGCCAGAAGTTAGATAATTGCAAAAATTGGAACGAAAAAAAAAATGTCAGGTGGGTTGACATGGAGTAACTAGATTTATTAGATGTCGTAGTTCCAACTACTGTCACAAATAAATGAGACCTTGCAAATGTAATCAGGAGATACCTTCCGGACGTATGTATCCAACCGACTTCAAACTCAATTCAATTACCTTTCCCTGAAATTCAGCTAAAATTGTGAATGGCGGATATACTATTGGTATATGTTTTTTTACATACAGGGAGTCACCTACATGTACTGGCGTCTGATCCATTTAAGATGTGAAATTGGCAACGTCATTTATTTCAATTAAACCATATTTTGGTACTTTTGAAACGTCAACAAATACAAAGTAAATAATAGTCTGTCAGTCAGTTCGTCAGTGAAGCTGTGTGTTATTCAGTTTTCAATTTTAAGTACTTTTAAACGTAGGGACTCATAATACAGGGGATTGGATTAATCTCGTCAAGTACAAATTTTTGATACAAACGTCTGATTAATTATGTCGGAAGAATAGATCGCCTCTACTTTATTGAAAGCGAGTTTTAGTAGAAGATTTCACCCATCTAAAATACCTCTAGTTACATCATCGCAGTTTACAAAACGTTATGAAGTTCTAAATTCAATTTCTGTTAAAACACGTTTTATTTAAAAAATATGTCGAATGTAATTTATTTTGCCGTGAAACGATCTGTCAGTAAAACCGATTGATTGAAACAATACATCCATATTCCCAAAAGGGTTCAATTAAGGAGATAGCAGAATGGACGACCAGGGAAATTTAAAATACGAGCCGTCATTTGAATTGTTCAATCGAATTTATTTTAACGTAATGTAACAAAAAGCAAACTTTTTTCATCTTATTCAAAGGAGAAAAAATGGGATTAATCAGTATATAGTTTTAAAAAAGGTTCTTGATGAAACTGAGATGATCTAAGTGTTTTAAGTGACAACTTACATTGTTTTTATAATAACTATCGTGAGACATACTAAATTAACTAAAATCGCGGGTTACGTGCACACCAGTGAGCTGCGTGACGTCGCTGCGACCACGCACGCTGCTCATGAGGAAGAACCCCTCTGTGGTTCGAAATTAGTAGAGCTTTTCTCAGTATATTCACGTGAGTAACCCGCGATTTTAGTTAAGACAACTTATATTATCTTGTATTAACTATCGAATGACTTGCTTAAATTCAAGAAATTATTTCACATAAACTATCAAATGTTCACCAAACATACTCTAGAAGGTGAACAAGAGCCCAAAAGAAAACGACTCAACAGAAAAAAGACTAACAAAAAAATCTTATATCACCCTTAAAACTATCTCATAGAGTGGTTTATTGACAAGTCGCATCTTGGCCTACGCAAATCCATTCAAATATTCGCCCACGACAAGCTTGTAACTTGTCAGGCCCGAGTCGACGAGCCCAGTGTATGTAGCCTGTAGTTTAAAACTAATCGAGATGTGATCCGATTAGTACCGCAGTAATTGAATTTGACTAATTTAGCATAAAGTCTATAGATTTTGTGCAGACAAGACGTCTTTGTTTTATTTTAGTTTGGGTTGCCAACTAATTAAAGAAGGATAGGATAATGTTGAC